TATAAGAGGTAAAAGACGGACGAACGGACGGACGGACGGACGGACAGAACCCAATCTATAAGCCTTCGGCAGACTTCGTCTGCGAAGGCTAAAAATGTCTGATATCATGAGTACTCAAATTTGCATCGTCTTAAAAGGGTGTGTGATTGGACATCAAAGGTAAGACAGGTGAATACAGTATGTGTAAATTATTCCATGCACTAACATTAACAGAGTAATCCACTGCCCACAATGACAACGATACAATGAATAAAAACAGCACAGAATTCTCATTTTTTTACAACAACTTCCCTGATTTCAATGAGAACACACAAACCACTGTACCATTGCTAAGGTTGAAATCTCCCTGACACTGGTCACACACACTAACCATTACGTCATAAAGTAAGCGTTAAATTACCATTACCTGTGAAATATTCCACTTATTATAATATTTTCAATAATTTGTCTCGTCTTCTCCGTGTCCATATTATGTTGTTTTTTACATAACTGATGATGTAGAGACATACCAGCAATGAATAAATGTTCATAAACTGACACAAACACCTGTAACATATAAATAGATATAAATTGAGAATTCTGTTGCTAAGAAACATGTCAGACATCCCTGAGTCACTGCCATATAACTTACATAATAAATTGAAAACAAACTTGATGTAAGATCCATGGCATAATGCCATGTTAAATTTGGTCTGCAATATTTGCTGAAGAAACAAACAGAATATATTATTATGAATGTGGTTGAGAAGAGTAATTCATTGTCAAAGTAATACAGTAGGGTTCCAGATAAAAAGAGTGATTGCGATATATCTATAGTATCAATTGTGATAAATTGGTATAAATGGTGATTGTGGTATAAATGGTGAGTGTGGTATAAATGATGATTGTGGTATAAATGGTGATTGTGGTATAAATGGTGATTGTGGTGTAAATGATGAGTGTGGTGTAAATGGTGAGTGTGGAATAAATGATGATTATGGTATAAATTATGAATGTGGTGTAAATGGTGAGTGTGGTGTAAATGGTGAGTGTTGTGTAAATGGTGAGTGTGGTATAAATTATGAATGTGGTGTAAATGGTGAGTGTGATGTAAATGGTGATTGTGGTATAAATTATGAATGTGGTGTAAATGGTGAGTGTGGTGTAAATGATGATTATGGTATAAATTATGAATGTGGTATAAATGGTGAGTGTGGTGTAAATGGTGAGTGTGGTGTAATTGGTGAGTGTGGTATAAATTAAGAATGTGGTACAAATGGTGAGTGTGGTGTAAATTATGAATGTGGTGTAAATGGTGAGTGTTGTGTAAATGATGAGTGTGGTATAAATTATGAATGTGGTGTAAATGGTGAGTGTGGTGTAAATGATGATTATGGTATAAATTATGAATGTGGTATAAATGGTGAGTGTGGTGTAAATGGTGAGTGTGGTGTAATTGGTGAGTGTGGTATAAATTAAGAATGTGGTACAAATGGTGAGTGTGGTGTAAATTATGAATGTGGTGTAAATGGTGAGTGTTGTGTAAATGATGAGTGTGGTATAAATTATGAATGTGGTGTAAATGGTGAGTGTTGTGTAAATGATGAGTGTGGTATAAATTATGAATGTGGTATAAATGGCGAGTGTGGTGTAAATGATGGGTGTGGTATAAATTATGAATGTGGTGTAAATGATGAGTGTGGTGTAAATGGTGAGTGTGGTGTAAATGATGATTGTGGTATAAATTATGATGTGGTAGAAATTATGAATGTTGTATAAATGGTGAGCGTGGTGTAAATGGTTAGTGTGGCATAAATGGTGAGTTTGGTGTAAATGGTGAGGGGATGTAAATGGTGAATGTGGTGTAAATGGTGACTTGGATATAAGTTGTGACCGGTATAAATATAAGAGTCTGTGGTGTAAATGGTGAGTGTAGTATAAATGGTGAGTGTAGTATAAATTGTGAGTGTGGTATAAATGATAAAAGTGCATGTGGTATAAAATGTGATTGTGGTATCAATGGTGGATGTGCAGGTTCAGGTAGGAACACAATGTGTGATTTTTTTTTGTCTGCAACCAGGGCGCACAGAAAATATAATGCTGACAATTTAAAAATGATGCCAATTTCAGATACTAGTAATAGGTGGATGGTATAAATAGTGATTGTGGTATAAATATAGATTGTTGTATAAAAGCGACAGTGGTGTAAAAGTCTATATACTAAGAAAACACAATATGATATTACCATTCTCTGATTTATCTGCTGTCTCTGCAGTGTACTATATCGTTCTAATGATGAAGTTAACAGAATCTCCATGGCAACTGAAAGAGTACCATCATTGGATAATATATTTGATGACAGCGATAACAGACTGCTGAAAAACTGCACCTAGAATGCAATAGAATAGCATAGAGGTAGAGCAGTGCATTATGGAAGGATTATAAATAATAAATTATTAAGTATTTCTTTTTTTACATTTTAATATTGCTTGATGATGTTAGAAGTGGGCATTAACCAAAAATTACATTCACTTTATATCGGATCGCTAAAATATACACCTCAGTTATTTATGCAATATAGAGCAAATACCACACTGTATATAAGTGTGTATTATATGCAAATATGACAAAATGGTGTCATACCATGTGCACATAAATATATGATGGCAAACCACACTGTATGTAATTGTGTATTATATGCAAATATGACAAGATGGTGTCATACCATGTGCACATAAATATATGATGGCAAACCACACTGTATGTAAGTGTGTATTATATATGCAAATATGACAAGATGATGTCATACCATGTGCACATAAATATATGATGGCAAACCACACTGTATGTGTGTATTATATATGCAAATATGACAATGGTGTCATACCGTGTACACATAAATATATGATGGCAAACCACACTGTATGTAAGTGTGTATTATATGCACATATAACAAGATGATGTCATACCATGTGCACATAAATATATGATGGCAAACGACACTGTATGTAAGTGTGTATTATATGCAAATATGACAAGATGATGTCATACCATGTGCACATAAATATGTGATAGCAAACCACACTGTATGTAAGTGTGTATTATATGCAAATATGACAAGATGGTGTCATACCATGTACACATAAATATATGATGGCAAACCACACTGTATGTAAGTGTGTATTATATGCAAATATGACAAGATGATGTCATACCATGTACACATAAATATATGATGGCAAACGACACTGTATGTAAGTGTGTATTATATGCAAATATGACAAGATGGTGTCATACCATGTGCACATAAATATATGATGGCAAACCTCACTGTATGTAAGTGTGTATTATATGCAAATATGACAAGATGGTGTCATACCATGTGCACATAAATATATGATGGCAAACCACACAGTATGTAAGTGTGTATTATATGCACATATGACAAGATGATGTCATACCATGTGCACATAAATATATGATGGCAAACCACACTGTATGTAAGTGTGTATTATATGCACATATGACAAGATGATGCCATACCATGTGCACATAAATATATGATGGCTAACGACACTGTATGTAAGTGTGTATTATATGCAAATATGACAAGATGATGTCATACCATGTGCACATAAATATGTGATAGCAAACCACACTGTATGTAAGTGTGTATTATATGCAAATATGACAAGATGATATGTGTGTTTTGCGAACTGCAAGTAAAGAGATGACCTGTTGCTTATTCTTAACATTCTGGCCATCATGGATACTTGTTTAAACTCAAACTTTTTAAATGATGTAATAATTAATGTCGACATGATATACTTACAAACACTTCATATTTAGCAGTAAAAATAAGCATCAGGTTATGAGAGGAGAGTGTTGCTTGGCAACAACTGATGACATGTTCCAGGCATATATCAGCATCCTCTCGTCTTAAGTAATCTATATATACCTGACAATGGAAAACAACAAATGAAATTACAATGCATGCATTGCACACTGTGAGTAATGTATATACATGTAGAGCAGACAATAGAAATGTAACAATAGAAAACAACAAATGAGATTACAATGCATGCATTGCACACTGTGAGTAATGTATAAACATGTAGAGTAGACAATAGAAATGTAACAATGTAAAACAAATGAGATTACAATGCATGCACTGCACACTGTGAGTAATGTATATACATGTAGAGCAGACAATAGAAATGTAACAATAGAAAACAACAATTTAGATTACAATGCATGCCTTGCACACTGTGAGTAATGTATATACATGTAGAGCAGACAATAGAAATGTAACAATGTAAAACAACAAATGAGATTACAATGCATGCATTGCACACTATGAGTAATGTATATACATGTAGAGCAGACAATAGAAATGTAACAATGTAAAACAACAAATGAGATTACAATGCATGCATTGCACACTATGAGTAATGTATATACATGTAGAGCAGACAATAGAAATGTAACAATAGAAAACAACAAATGAGATTACAATGCATGCACAAAAACAAAGTGATGTGCAACAAGGATCCATAATGTCCAATGTATATACCAAGTTGCAACAAAATCCATCTGTAAACAGCTGAGAAATGCTTGATTTTGATAATTTTTCAGTACAAAAATGGCTGCCTTTCGACCATCTTGAATCAGATCGTGTATAATATTATGTATAATGTTTGTGTGAAGTTTGAATGTAATTGGTCCAGGCATGTCTAAGATACAGGTCCGGACGCACGG